AAAAAAAAAAAAAAAAAAAAAAAGGGTAGCCAACGGTCATTCATTCTCTAATTTCTCTTACCTCCTCTTTCTGCATTCACAGCTGACTCCACTGAGTCAACACAGACTTCCATTAGAAATCCATTTGCTGCTCCTAAAATACATGGAGAACAAAGAGAGTTCATAAAGGTTCTATCCATCCAGACCAATTTACCACAAATAGTTTATATTTTGCTGCCAAAATGCAAATGTTCAATAATAGGTAAATAGATAAGTACACTAGTACCCATGAATGCAATAAAATACCACATTAATTATTGAATTGATGCCTCTAGACTCAAATAGGTACACATACATATATATAAGATATTATACTGGGAAAATGTACATCGAATGCCAAATTAATCTTCCTAAAACAAAGACCTCATCATCACATTCCAGCTAAGATTCTTACAATGCATCTCAATGCCTGCAGAATATATTTAAACTTCATTATAAGGAATATGTGTTTACAAGTAGGACAGACTTCAACTCCATGTCTCACCAACTATTTATTGTGTGATCCTAGATTAGTTTTATATAAAACAAGATAGATTTTACTATCTACCTCAGATAGTAGTGAGGATTAAATGGGATAATTCATGTAAAGTGCATAGTCTCAAGAAACAAAAAATATTAGCTAATTGGCTGGGCATGGTGGCTCATGGCTGTAATCCCAGCACTTTGGGAGGCTGAGGCAAGTGGATCATATGAGGCAGGAGCTGGAGACCAGTCTGGCCAACATGGTAAAACCCCATTACTACTAAAAATACAAAAATTAACAAGGCATGGTGGTGTGTGCCTGTAATCCCAGTTACTCAGGAGGCTGAGGCAGGAGAATCACTTGAACCTGGGAGGCAGAGGTTGCAGTGAGCTGAAATTGCATCACTGCACTCCAGCCTAGGTGACAGAGCAAGACTCGGTGTCATTCCTTCTTATGCCTCCAGATCTCCCCAGTCCCTCCTTAATGCCTTCTCCTCCACCCAGAGTTCCTTGTGGCTTCATCTTTGAATAAAATTTCCCAAGGAACATTTCCATGATTTTCATTCTCTCCCAAAGTAGAATATTTTATGTCCTTCTTTTGAACTCATTTAACTCTTCCTGAGTTATAAAACCCCAATTGTTCCTCCTTAAAACATGAATTACTTTCTACCTTTTATTATTTATGCAGATAAATGTCTGATCACTTTTACTTGACTTAAAGTGCCTTAGTTTTTGTTTTTTTGTTTTGTTTTGTTTTTAAATACAGAGCCTTGCTCTGTCATCCAGGCTGAAGTACAGTGGCATGATCTCAGCTCACTGCAACCTCCACCTCCCGAGCTCAAGCAATTCTTGTGCTTCAGCCTCCTCAGTAGGTGGGACTACAGGTATGCCACAAGACCTGATTAATTTTTGTATTTTATGTAGAGATGGGGTTTCGCCATGTTGCCCAGGCTGGTCTCAAACTCTTAGACTCAAGCGATCCACCAGCCTCAGCCTCCCAAAGTGCTGGGATGACAGGTGTGAGCCACCACGCCTGGTCTCCTAAGTAAGGTATTCATGTGAGAAATCTTTATCATCACCCACACCAAGCACAGTATCTACCATGGTGAACAATAATCAAATATTTACTAAAGTCTGAATAATTACAACTTCATAAATATTAATGTATTTCTATTACAAAATGTGATGTAAACAGTTTTGAGTTTTTTCTGTAAGCACAAAATTTTTTAAAAATTACCAAAACAATGCACACTTCATGCAATGAGACCTAAGAGAACGTTTCTCAAATACTGGTAATGGTCAATCCTAATCCTGGTGGGGTGTGATTTGAAATTATTTTTATTTTCTTTTTACTTTTCTTTATTGCTTTTTTCCTACCCAATATTGCTTTTATAATTTAAAAAAGCAATTTTTACTTTGAAAAACAAACAAAACAAAAACCTATCATCTGCTAACATCAAACTGCAACTGCCCATTTAAGACTATCAGTCCCAAACTGTGAAAGAGTTAAGTGTCAATCTATGCTCTTAACAGCACTGCATTGTTAACTCCCTAAGTTTCCTGACAGCTACCAGACCAGCTGTCAGATCAGTGGCACTGGCCCATGCTGCAGGGGGACTATTTGCTTCACACAAGAAAGAACCCCAGCCAGAAGATGGAGAGAAGTACAAAAACGGCTATGACAGAAGGCAGAATAGGCAGTTGTCCCAAGCAACAAAGTTATAGAGACCAAAGGAGAAGCAGCAGCAGTTCTCAAAGTGTAGCAGTCCAGGTAGCTTTGGGGGCCTCTGAGACTCTTTCAGAGTCTGCAGGACAACAACCATTTTCATAATAATACTAAGACTTTTTTTTGCCTTTTTCACTCACAGGCGTTTTATTTTTTTATTTCTTTTGAGACTGAGTCTCACTCTGTCACCCAAGATGGAGTGCAGTGGCAGGATCTCGGCTCACTGCAACCTCCGTGAAGAGGCGTTTTCAAGAGGCTACTTGACACGTTAGACTGAATGAAGCAACGGGTATGAGAATCCAGCTGTCTTCCATTAAAACATATTGAAGAAACTTGCAAAAATATAAAATTTGCCATTCTTTTGCTATTTTGTTGTTTAGGAACATTTCTTTTTCATAAAAAATGTTATGTAAACATGTAATGGGTTTACTATAGTTATTTTCTTTTTTTTTTTTTTTTT